CTCTTGTTTTTAATGGAAGGCAATATACCATGGAGTCCTAGCTCTCTGCTAGCACTGTGGATAGTCGCTCTTGTTTTTAATGGAAGGCAATATACCATGGAGTCCTAGCTCTCTGCTACTTACTGGGTAGTTTTATGACTGTGAATTAGTTGCTCTCCCTGAGACTTAGTTTCCTCACGTGCTAAATGGAGATAATAATACTTTACCTCAGCAACTGTAAGAGGTGTTGGTGAGAATCACGGGAAACCAACCTATATGAATACATAATACACTATAAAGGTGTATAGGATATTGATTTTTTACATCCTGTATACAAAAAAACCCAAAAAAACTCAAACCGATTGCCGTCGAATCGATTCTGACTCACAGCAACCCTATAGGACAAAGTAGAACCACCTCAGGGGTTTCCAAGGAGCACCTGGTGGGTTTAAACTGCTGAGTTTTTGGTTAGCAGCCGACTTCTTAACCACTGTGCCACCAGGGCTCCTGCATCCTGCCGTATAATTCAGTATTTATTGAATGTTACTATATAGGATGTATATAGGACATATGCAGTAGCATTCAGTAGATAATGAATTATACTACAGTACCTTTGAAGCAGAGTCCTTTATACTTGTTGAAAATTTTTCCATAAATAAATATTAAAAAAAAAATTTTTTTTCCAGATTTGCATTTTTTCAATTATAATAATGATAAATACTCCTAATTTTAAAAAAGCAAATATGTCAGAACTGTGTAATAAATGTTATCTCGTACCTTCCAGTCAGCAAATCCTGTATTCCAGGGGTAACTTACGGTTTGGACTGTGTCCTTTTCAGGGCTCTCTTCTGTGTATATGCAGATATGCATAATACGTATGTATGTGTTGTGGTGGTTGTAGTGGTGTGCTGTGAAGTCAATTCTGACTCAGCAACCCTATGTAGTGTAACTGGCCTACAGGGTTTCCTAGGCTGTAATCTTTTTTTTGTTTCAATGGGGGAAGAAGATGCTTGTCATTTCTCAAGCTGAAAGAACTGAAGAAAAATTTCAAGCCTCCAGTTGCTATTTTGAAGGATTCTGTGGGCAAAATATTGAACAACACAGGAAGCATCAAAAGAAGATGGAAGGAATACACAGAGTCACTGTACCAAAAAGAGTTTGTCAGTGTTCAGCCATTTCAGGAGGTAGCATATGATCAAGAACTGATGGTAGTGAAGGAAGATGTCCAAGCTTCACTGAAGACATTGGTGAAAAATAAGGCTCCATGAATTGATGGAATACTAATAGAGATATTTCTGTGAATGAATGCAGTGCTGGAAGCACTCACTCATCTATGCCAAGAAATTTGGAAGACAGCTACCTGGCTAACCGACAGGAAGGGATCCATGTTTGTGCCCATTCGAAAGAAAGGTGATCCAGCAGAATTCGGAAATTATCGAACAATATCATTAACATCACACACAAGTAAAATTTTGCTGATGATAATTCAGAAGCGGTGGCAGCAGTACATTGATAGAGAACTGCCAGAAATTCAAGCTGGTTTCAGAAGAGGAGCAAGGGATAGCATTGCTGATGTCAGATGATCTTGGCTGAAAGCAGAGAATACCAGAAAGATTTTTTTTTTTTTTTTTTTTTTTAAACATTTTTTACTGAGGTGAAATTCAAGTTACATAAAATTAACCATTTTAAAGTTAATTGGCATTTAGTACATTCACAATATTGTGAACCACCACCTCTAGTTAGTTCTAAAACATTTTTATTATCCCAAAAGGAAACCCCATACCCATTAAGCAGTGACTCCCCATTCACCCCTCCTTAGCCCCTGACAACCACCAATCTGCATTCTGTCTCTACAATTTTATCTATTATGAATATTTCATATAAATAGAATCATACAGTATGTGACCTTTTCTTAGCA